GAGGAAGCCAAACCAGTATTGGAAAAAATTTTTTCAAAAAGTTGATGACATCAGTTTTTTTTATATTTGCAAATGACATTTATAAAGCTCTACTCTTCTATGACTTAAATGAATTTTACAAAATACAACAAGTAATTAAGTTCTAAAAAGTAAATGTTTAAAAATGTAAAATAAAATTTGCTTATTATTATTGAATAGTTTTATAAGCTCTGCTCTCACTGTGAAAGATACATTACTTAAAATTTAATGTCAAAAAAAAAAAAAGAAGTAAAAACTGTTAATTAATTTATGGATTAGCAAAGACTATGTCAAGTTAAATTTTTGAAAATTAGAGAATTGATTATAGATTAAATTAACATGTCTAAAAAGTCATTATCTTTACATCCCAATTTAAAAGCTCATCTACATCCATGTTCATTACCACACTCAATTGAGTTTAGTCAATAAGCAAAAGATAGTATACACATGTGGTGTTTCTTTAATAAGAAGTGCAGAATTTCTTTATAAATCCAACTATATGTGTGTTGAAATTATAGTATAAACTAATTCATGTTATAAAATGATAACTAATTTAAAATTAAGATGCTAGAGAAGCAAGTCTTTTTTATTCTTCAATGCCAACTTAAATAAAATATTTTAAAATTTCTTAGTTACTTTTGAATAAAAAAACGCTGAAATTTCAAAAGGATGAAGCAGCAAATTGTCAATATTAGTATAAATAAATCGATTACGACATAATTAAAATTTTTTGTGATTTTGTAAGACAATGCATCTGTCGTCATGCGACTAATGAATAAAACAAACGAACTTATCGAGAGCACTTATTTTGTAAGACAATGTATCTGTTGTCATGCGACCAACAAATAAAACAAACGAACTTATCGAGAGCACTTCTTAATGCCGGAAGACAATGACTAATTTTAAAAATAAAAAATCACAAAACTATAGATCAGATAGGCAAATGGTTTTGGAAAACTATTTCTTAATGAAAAGCAGTTCACAAGCTTCAGAACTTCAAAGCAAATATTAAAGTGACAGTGCTTACGTGTGTATGCACGCATTATATATAATAAAAAAGACGTGTCTACGAAATAAATTAAGAACAATAAGCAAAACAAATATGTAAATATCTGCTTTAAAAGTTCTACTTAAAATTATGATAAATGAATTTTTTTTAAAGAGTTTTAAATGAATTTTTTTGAAAGAGTTTTTACACAAAATAATGAAAAACAGTTGCTTTACCTTTCGTTTTTCTTTTGATTGTATAATTTTAACACACAAAAAATTTACGCTTTATATTTATGTTAGGTCTAAACCATCAATTTGAAATATGCCGTATTTTTAGTTTGTATTATAAACCCATTTTTGTTTTGTTTATATTCTCTTATTATAGAAAGACTGGTCTTGTGACTGATTTACGGAGAAAAACAAATATACTGAGACTTTTTAGTCTCTGTGTAATAAGGATTTCAACCGACATTCCGACATTTTATTAGCATTTCTGTGCCATAAGTAAAAAAGTACACTCAAAAGAAAATTTAAGTAAAAAATATTGTTAATGCAAGGCTAATTAGCATAACTTAGCATAACTTAACATAGATAATATTTTCTAATTATATTTTATTAAGAACTTTAGAGTCAATAGGTTTGAGGTGTGACTTTATTTAATGGAAATTTATTGGAAAGAAACTAACGTTGTTCCATTAGTCAATGAGTATTTAATAGAAGTTTAGTTAAAAATAGTTTAATTTATTTATTTAGTTTAAAAACCCTTATTTAGTTTTATTTAGGTCAAAAGCATTTGATTAAAAAAAACCAACTAATGATAACATTTAAATAAAAAAAAAAAATTAATATTAAAGTTTTTGTTGGCGGGAATGTTGATTTAATGTGAATACTTTTGCTAAAATAAAATTCGGTATCTTATAGTCCATATAGTGTTGGTATTCATGTTAGACAAAGCCAAACCTTGCATTTGGAATTTTTGCACTGATACCACTTACTATTTTGAATTGCTCAAAATATTTCGACACAAATTACACTTGAATTTATCTGTTGATGTTCTTGCTGGGAATGCTGGGAATGATATTTTTAATGCTCATTATAAAAGTTTTTTGCTTGCTTAAGTTAAGTTTATTAAGTTTATTAAGACACTCCTCTTTCAAGCCTGCAAATTTACATTGTGCGTGTGAGTGTGTTTCAATCTGTTGGATTGCGTTTCAATCTGTTGGTTGTGTTTCAATCTGTTGGATTCGCAACACATTTGTTGCGAAGCTGTAGTAAGTAATTTGGTCAATTGCAATTGTCTTGCAACTTCTTATTAAATTTCTTTTGAACAGCCAAAGTTACTACAATATTAAAAGTTGGTTGCAGGCGAATAATATGAATATGAAGCTGATGCTTGAAATCTTTTTTGATTGGAACCTTTAAGAAATCATCATTATGAGTTCTAAGAGTTCAAATTGATGATAATCAATTTGAACTCTATTAGAACTCATAATGATGTAAATACTAATATTAGATATGTATAATAAGTATAGATGATGTAAATACTAATATTAGTGGTGGTGGTACTGGCATTAACTCTAGTGGTTAACGTAATGAAAACTCAGGTTGAGGTGTTTCAAACGTATTAGCAATATTTGATTTTGACTGATCAATTTTATAATGACAAGTGGGAAAAAACCGGCGTTTTGAAATCGATTGACTATTTACGTGTAAAAATTTAACCAGAGTAGAGAAGTTTGCTTGCACTTAACTAAAGAATTATTTCGATAAAATTCTGTATTTTGTAATTGTAATTTGGTTGCCGCAAACTTTTTCAAATGCTGCAAACATGATTCGGTGTATAGTTCCTTTCTGTGAAAGTTTTTCCGAGACATGTTTTATATTGGAATAGATTTGACAATAATCAATTTTGTGAGGAATTTTTAAAGGTTCTTTGGTCAGTTTAGACATAATTAGGTAATCAAAGTCTTATTTCCAAAAACAACAATTAGCATATTTCAATTATCTTAATATTATTATAGTTCATCGTACCTGTTTTCAATCTATAATTTTTTACCGGATATCGTATATTTTGAAAAGAATCCTCGACCTGCGTAAAAAGCTGCGTTAACAATTAAAACATATCCTTGTATAATACAAGAATATGTTTTTAGTTCACTGATTTTAAATTCACTTTGAAATATTTTAGGCCTATTATTTAGGAAGAAAATAATTATTACGTGACCAAAATTTTAACAATTTTTCAAAAAAAAAAAAAAAAATTTTTTTATTAAAAACCTATATTATTTTATCCAGAAAAAGATCCTCCACAACATAGTTTATGCAATAAGTAACAAAGTAATGATATAAGCAAAGAATAAACGTTGTCAGATTGTTGTTATGTATCAGATATATTGTCAGTCTGACAATGTACGTAATATTTAATATTGAATGGAATTACATATCTTTAAAAAAAATTTGAATAAAGTAGTTTTTGAAATTGACAATATACAAATGTACTTTTAAAACCTTTTGAAATTCCTTTTATATTTTATTTATATCGGTTCATATGATTTGCAATGTATGATTTTAAATGATCGGTTTGTATGATTTGTATTTCAATTATTTACGATCTGCAAGCATATTGTCTGTCTATATTATATTGACGAATTTTTTTGCAAATTTTTTTATTTTATTTTGATTTTTATTAAATTCTTTTTTCTTGATATGATTTGTAACTCTTATTTTACAGCGGTTCTTGACAATTAGACTATACGGTCTTCAATGAGTTTCCGCGTTCTGTTTTTTTATATATATATACTAAAAATCTTCACTTGTAATTGTTTGTACATACATATATGCATATATGAAATTTGTTTCACTTGCAGTTTAATTTTAATTTCTTTTTTATTGAATAAATATTTGAACGGGATTAACATAACATTTATAAATACTGCTAGCAAAATTTTTGTGTCCTGCATACAATTAAAATAATAAAAAAGTAAAAACAGATATCCAGCAAATGTTATATAGCGGAATTTTAGCGAATCTATATAAGCTTTTTGTACGCACCGCTTTAGTATTGCTCATTGGTTACTTAGTGGACTATTCATGGCAGCCGCCAAAAGCGGCTAGCCGATGACTAGCCACTATTAACAAATTAAAAAAGTTATCGATTTTCCATTTATAGCGGCTGCCACTAATGGTCCACTAAGTAACCGATGGTAACCACTAAGTAACTAATGGTCCACTAAGTAACCGATGAGCAAAACTACAGCATATATATATATACATATATATATATATATATGTATATATATATATATATATATATACATATATATATGTATATATATATACATATATATGTATATATATATATATATATATATATATATATATATATATATATATATATATATATATATATATATATATATGTTATATATATATATATATATATATATATATATATATATATATATATATCATAGTATATATATATCATAGTATATATATATCATAGTATATATATATATATATATATATATATATATATATATATATATATATATATATATATATATATATATATATATATATATATAATTTGCATATATATGTCACTGCAAATCCACCAGAGCCGACGTGCCCCCCACTTTTTTTGTAAAAGACTTTTTTTTTGAGAAAATTCTAGATACAGAGGAATTTTTAAAAATAGACGATTGTGCCCCTCCATTTCAAAACCCGTGTTGTCCATTAAAAGAATATTTGCTGGGTAAACAATGAAACTATTTTTTTTTATCATATTTAAGATTTGCTTGATTTATGATGATAATTTAAAAAAAACTTGAATTGACTTATATTTTTTGCACTCTTTACTTCAATTAATATATTACAAAAAAAAGTGCCCTGAGTTAAAATTAAGTTTTTTGTACACCCAAGTTTTAATTTTAGAAGTATAACAGAAAGATATAATATCTATATTTGTATTTATTGGAATTATCATAAAGGTATAAACTTTTTATGCTGTTAACTTACGAAGCTACCTTTCATTACGTGAAATGACTGTTTACGAGTAATCCATGATAGTTTAAAATGTTGCTCAAACGTATTATTATTTTTTTAAATATATTTGTTTATTTAGCCGTTAACATAATACTTACAAGTTTTGTAAATTAA